ATATACCCAGACATTTACAGCTAAAATTAAGTTCTCAGACTGAAGATGGACATCAACATCTCAATGTTTTCTGAAATTGATTTATTGCTATGATACAAGTTTACGGCCCAGCCAGTGATGATCAGGCTTTACGGCCCAGCCAGTGATGGTCAGGCTTTACGGCCCAGCCAGTGATGGTCAGGCTTTACGGCCCAGCCAGTGATGATCAGGCTTTACGGCCCAGCCAGTGATGGTCAGGCTTTACGGCCCAGCCAGTCATGATCAGGCTTTACGGCCCAGCCAGTGATGGTCAGGCTTTACGGCCCAGCCAGTGATGGTCAGGCTTTACGGCCCAGCCAGTGATGATCAGGCTTTACGGCCCAGCCAGTGATGATCAGGCTTTACGGCCCAGCCAGTGATGGTCAGGCTTTACGGCCCAGCCAGTGATGGTCAGGCTTTACGGCCCAGCCAGTGATGATCAGGCTTTACGGCCCAGCCAGTGATGGTCAGGCTTTACGGCCCAGCCAGTGATGATCAGGCTTTACGGCCCAGCCAGTGATGATCAGGCTTTACGGCCCAGCCAGTGATGATCAGGCTTTACGGCCCAGCCAGTGATGATCAGGCTTTACGGCCCAGCCAGTGATGATCAGGCTTTACGGCCCAGCCAGTGATGATCAGGCTTTACGGCCCAGCCAGTGATGATCAGGCTTTACGGCCCAGCCAGTGATGATCAGGCTTTACGGCCCAGCCAGTGATGATCAGGCTTTACGGCCCAGCCAGTGATGATCAGGCTTTACGGCCCAGCCAGTGATGGTCAGGCTTTACGGCCCAGCCAGTGATGATCAGGCTTTACGGCCCAGCCAGTGATGATCAGGCTTTACGGCCCAGCCAGTGATGATCAGGCTTTACGGCCCAGCCAGTGATGGTCAGGCTTTACGGCCCAGCCAGTGATGGTCAGGCTTTACGGCCCAGCCAGTCATGATCAGGCTTTACGGCCCAGCCAGTCATGATCAGGCTTTACGGCCCAGCCAGTGATGGTCAGGCTTTACGGCCCAGCCAGTGATGATCAGGCTTTACGGCCCAGCCAGTGATGATCAGGCTTTACGGCCCAGCCAGTGATGATCAGGCTTTACGGCCCAGCCAGTGATGATCAGGCTTTACGGCCCAGCCAGTGATGATCAGGCTTTACGGCCCAGCCAGTGATGATCAGGCTTTACGGCCCAGCCAGTGATGATCAGGCTTTACGGCCCAGCCAGTGATGATCAGGCTTTACGGCCCAGCCAGTGATCAGGCTTTACGGCCCAGCCAGTGATGATCAGGCTTTACGGCCCAGCCAGTGATGGTCAGGCTTTACCTGTTTATTGTAAAGGGAACAATGTGCCAGTATTTAATGATTCGTTTTACCCAAGGTGGGAGAAATATTTTTTTCTCAGTACCACTCTAGTGGATTTTATTTAGGCAATAACATTATTGATATATATTTGTGTAGTTCTGTTTTTGTGGTGGTGGTGGTAGTGGTGGTGGTAGTGGTGGTAGTGGTGGTGGTTAGTGGGTGGTGTGGTGGTGGTGGTGGTGGTGAGTGGTGGTGGTGGTAGTGGTGTGGGTAGTGGTGGTGGTTATGTGGTGGTGGTGGTAGTGGTGGTGTGGTGTGGTGGTGGTAGTGGTAGTGGTGGTGGTAGTGGTGGTGGTTGGTGGTGGTTGTGGTGGTGGTGGTGGTGGTAGTGGTATGTGGTGGTGGTAGTGGTGGTGGTTGTGGTGGTGGTGGTGGTGGTAGTGGTAGTGGTTGGTGGTAGTGGTGGTGGTGGTAGTGGTGGTGGTAGTGGTGGTGGTGGTAGTGGTAGTGGTGGTGGTGGTGGTAGTGGTGGTTTGTGGTGGTGGTGGTAGTGGTGGTGGTGGTAGTGGTGGTGGTGGTAGTGGTAGGTGGTAGCGGTGGTGGTGGGTGGTGGTGGTGCTAGTGGTGGTGGTAGTTGGTGGTGGTGTAGTGGTGGTGGTGGGTGGTGGTGGTGTGTGGTGTGGTGGTAGTGGTGGTGGTAGTGGTGGTGGTAGTGGTGGTGGTGTGGTGGTGTGGTGGTGGTAGTGGTGGTGGTAGTGGTGGTGGTAGTGGTGGTGGTGGTAGTGGTGGTGGTAGTAGTGGTGGTGGTAGTGGGTGGTAGTAGTGGTGGTGGTAGTGGTTGTGGTAGTGGTTGTGGTGGTGGTGGTGGTGTGGTAGTGGGATGGTGTGGTGGTGTTGGTAGTGGTGGTAGTGGTGGTGCTGGTGGTAGTGTTGGTGGTAGTGGTGTTGTGGTAGTGGTGTGGTGGTGTTGGTAGTGGGGGTGGTGGTAGTGGTGGTGATGGTGGTGTGGTGCTGGTGGTGTAGTGGTAGTGGTGGTGTTGGTAGTGGTGATGGTGGTGGTGGTAGTGGTGATGGTGGTAGTGGTGGTGGTGGTGGTGCTGGTGGTGGTGGTAGTGGTGGTGCTGTGGTAGTGGTGGTGGTGGTGCCCTTCTCTTCTCTCTCTCTCTCCATCTCTCTCTCTCTCTCTCTCTGCCTCTCTCTCTCTCTCTCTCTCTCTCCTCTCTCTCTCTCCTCTCTTCTCCTCGTTTTTTTAGTTTATTTTCAGTATTACTAAGGTATGTTTTACATGGTTTATTCTCTGCATAACACTGAAGTAGTCCTTTTTTATAACTGGGATCTAGATATGTGTTGAGTATCGTGTTGTAGTCAGTCTACCTTGAGGGTATTCCGGGGATCAACGCCCCCGCGCCCCGGTCTATGACCAGGCCTCCCGGTGGATCAGGGCCTGATTTACGAGGCTGTTCATGCTGGCCGCACGCAATCCAACGTACGAACCACAGCCCGGTTGATCCGGCACCGACTTTACGTATCTGTCCAGCTCCCTCTTGAAGACAACCAGTGGTGTAACTCACCAACCTGGTTAACATTGATCCCCGGGAGGTGAGTGTTGCCCAAGACGGAGACTTGTGGATCACTCGAAGCTTTAATAATAAAATGTCTCAAATATTGTATTCGAGGCAATATTTCTTGAGACGAAACTCTTTCACTAAGAAGTCTAGTTTTGTGGAATATTTTCAGCACTAATGATAACTTACCAATAACATTCTTTTAACTTGTATCAAGTGATGGCTGGCGTGTGTTATCTAAGCAATACGTTACAATGTTTGATTTTGTTCGCGTTTTGCGACGTAACATTAAGTGCTGTTGAAGTGAGTAGATACATTCTGAATGAGCTTGTGCTTCTGTAATTCATTATGTTCTTAAAGAGCCTTTGGTTTACTGCAGGCAAGAGTTGAGGACTGAAGTGGCTATTCTAGTCTAATAAAGTTGGTAGAATTACCGACAGTATGTAAAGTAAAAGGACACAAGTGCAACTAATGTGACATTTATTGTGGCAACGTTTCGCTCTCCAGGAGCTTTATCAAGCCATTACAAACAATACATTAATTGCTCTTCCTTATTGTATTATTTTTGTTACTACTACTGCTACTACCACTAGTGAACATCGAAATGGTACCTCACTAGTATTGCACCTCACTCTGAGCCTTTATATACCCTCTGTGTCCATGTATTGTTTGTAATGGCTTGATAAAGCTCCTGGAGAGCGAAACGTTGCCACAATAAATGTCACATTAGTTGCACTTGTGTCCTTTTACTTTACATATTCTAGTCTAGATTCGCCCGGCCCGGGCCTTTTCCAAGAGGTGGCACAGCCTTGGCTTCCTGTCGATGGAGTGTTTCTGACCACTGTCTGTCATGGAAGCTGAAGTGGTTCACAATGATGTCTTTTATTACTCTCTACTCGAGAATTCACTCATGGATAACCAGTTGAAGTGTAGACAAACATGGCACTCTGTTGTATCCTGTTCCTTCGATCCGCTTTGACAACATTGGCACCATTATCCCGTGCTATCAAATGAATTTTAGAAGCTGGTATGCTGAATTCAAGTATTGCTTATTGAATAATCTAGGAGATATGCGCCCCTGTGTGCGAGTTTAGGAAATATCGTAATAGCATGACTCGCTTGCCATAAGTTCTAATTTTACCCGTACTGTGGTTTGTCTTGGAAATGGTATCGTTCTAAGCTAAGTTTTTGTTGAGTCGCATGTGATTGACAAGGGACTCGCATGAGACTGACAGCCTCATGCTATTCCTACAAGGTTAGTGGACTGATTACATCATCTTAACCGCCTCACTTCTGCTGCTTTCAATCCATTCTCTGTATCTGAAGAAGCCTATCGTGTAGGCGAAACTTTTCAACAATAAAGATATCCAACTGTCGAACATGTCTTACACAACATGTACTGCAATTACTTGTAATTTTATATATATAATATATATATATATATATATATATATATATAAAATATAATATATATATATATATATATATAATATATATATATATATATATGCAAGACAAACTACGGGGGTGGAAATCTTTAGCTCAGGTACTTTCACACTCCTCAGTGAGTCATCAGGAGCTATGCAGTGTTGCAAGAGAACTGAAGCAGGGAGAGAGTTCTCAGAGTAGCGTAGTGCGGATGTGTCACCGGCCACGGTTACCCTTAGAATGTGGTCAGTGACCTTGTATTTTCCTTTGCCTTGTGAAGGTAAAGGTACTCTTGATCTAAGGAATTGGATCACCCCCTTCATATCGAATCAAAATTACCCCGTTACTCAACTCTCCCTTCTCAACTTTATCTTAGTGATGAAATTGCGCATCTGTTCTGAACTCCAGCTCCTGGACCAAAGGAAAAGGAACCACAGTCAGATTAGTTCTTACGCAGCTTCTGTTGGTGGTATGGTCGTGTCACTCCATCTGATGGACATTGAATCATCTTTGGGAAGGTTAGATGATCCCTCTGGTTGTCAGTAATACTGTCGTATTTCAGTTATATCCGTTACAATTCACCGCTTCCCTGCGTGAATCACTGACCGTTAGTGAGTCACTGCATGTGACGTCACGAGCTCCTTGAATGCCGTGCCTCTGGGCACTGTGTCACCTCAGTTCAAGGCAGGGTATAGAGGCTGACAGGCCAGGCCTGGCGCTCTCCCTTAATTATCATTAATATACGTTACCAAGCCATCCTTCGTGTGTGTGTGTATTACCCAAATCCATCGACCGAGTCCCCACGACATGGTGAGATGTTGAAGAATCAGATACTTGTGCATCATTTCGAAATCTTTATTGAGGAAACGTTTCGGCAGCTAGTGACTTTTTTTTTTTAGCTCAATGCAGAGAAAACTACCACTCTAGTACCTTCCCAAAAATGATGGACTGAACATATCGACTCCAGGCTGAGGGACTGATTACCTCATTCTCCTCATCTTTCACCGTTTTTCTCTGTATTAGACTGAAGAAGCCACTGGCTGGCGAACCGTTTCCAGAATAAAGATACTCAAATGTTGCACAAGTGTCTCATCGTTCAAACTGTTAGTTTTGTAAACTATTACACCACTCCGGTGAGACACGAAGTGGTGGGGCCTCTACTGACAGAAGTACTACTGCACCTTTCCTGTGGGCGCCGAAGGTGTTATGACTCCTGGCGTTCATGGCTCGCCCACCACTGTTATTAGCCTACAAACAGTTGTGGGCTTCCTCTGCTTCTCTAAAAGGCGGCTTGCTAAGCCTAGGTCAGTAATTTCTCGAGGTGCGTTGTGTACTAGATCAGAGAATAATGTTTACCAGGAAACAGCAGTACCTGTCTTAATCAAAGTTAATATTTCACTGTTAAGACAGTCGGATGGGTGAGTGTTCATGAACCTTAAACGGTGTTGTACAACTATAGTGAGCTCAGTGGGTACCCGCTCTCCAGATGTTAATGGAGTCTCCTCGATTCTTGCCACGGGTATCGGGTTACCTTAGTGTTTACGTTATGTTGCCATCGCTCATGCAGGCCCAGTCTGGTATAAACATTGGTGATAGATATCAACAAGACTCGAGAAAACATTGCGACATACTTATTAGAAAACGTTTCGGTCCTGGAACCTTGATCACTTCTAGCATACATTAAAATGACACTGAAAAGATTTCTAATGAATATGCCCTAGTGTTTTCTGAAGTGTATTTCAAAATCATGCCCAGTCTTTTGACTTCTAGTGACCACTCTAAAATACACTTTAGATTGCATGACCACCCCGTTTACTTCACATGGCTTCAAGACTTGTATTACTGAATCTCGATACCCTTCACTAGATGCCCTAGCATTCTACAATAGATGCCCTAGCATTCTACACTAGATGCCCTAGCGTTCTACAATAGATGCCCTAGCATTCTACACTAGATGCCCTAGCGTTCTACAATAGATGCCCTAGCATTCTACACTAGATGCCCTAGCATTCTACACTAGATGCCCTAGCATTCTACACTAGATGCCCTAGCATTCTACACTAGATGCTCTAGCATTCTACACTAGATGCTCTAGCATTCTACACTAGATGCCCTAGCATTTTACACTAGATGCCCTAGCATTCTACACTAGATGCCCTAGCATATGCCTGATTCTACACTAGATGCCCTAGCATTCTACACTAGATGCCCTAGCATTCTACACTAGATGGCTCTAGCATTCTACACTAGATGCCCTAGCATTCTACATAGATGCACTAGCATTCTACATAGATGCCCTAGCATTCTACACTAGATGCCCTAGCATTCTACACTAGATGCCCTAGCATTCTACACTAGATGCCCTAGCATTCTACACTAGATGCCCTAGCATTCTACACTAGATGCCCTAGCATTCTACACTAGATGCCTAGCATTCTACACTAGATGCCTAGCATTCACACTAGAAAGCCCTAGCATTCAACACTAGATGCCCGAGCATTCTACACTAGATGCCCTAGCATTCTACCCTAGATGCGTTAGCATTCAACACTAGATGCTCTAGCATTCAACACTAGATGCCCTAGCATTACACTAGATGCCCTAGCATTCTACACTAGATGCCTAGCATTCTACACTAGATGCCCTAGCATTCTACACTAGATGCCCTAGCATTCTACACTAGATGCCCTAGCATTCTACACTAGATGCCCTAGCATTCTACACTAGATGCCCTAGCATTCTACACTAGATTCCCTAGCATTCTACACTAGATGCCCTAGCATTCTACACTAGATGCCCTAGCATTCTACACTAGATGCCCTAGCATTCTACACTAGATGCTCTAGCATTCTACACTAGATGCTCTAGCATTCTACACTAGATGCCCTAGCATTCTACACTAGATGCCCTAGCATTCTACACTAGATGCCCTAGCATTCTACACTAGATGCCCTAGCAATCTACACTAGATGCTCTAGCATTCTACACTAGATGCTCTAGCATTCTACACTAGATGCTCTAGCATTCTACACTAGATGCCCTAGCATTCAACACTAGATGCCCGAGCATTCTACACTAGATGCCCTAGCATTCTACCCTAGATGCGTTAGCATTCAACACTAGATGCTCTAGCATTCAACACTAGATGCCCTAGCGTTCAACACTAGATGCCCTAGCATTCTACACTAGATGCCCTAGCATTCTACACTAGATTGCCCAGCATTCTACACTAGATGCCTAGCATTCTACACTAGATGCTCTAGCATTCTTCACTAGATGCCCTAGCATTCAACACTAGATGCCCTAGCATTCTACACTAGATGCCCTAGCATTCTACACTAGATGCCCTAGCATTCTACACTAGATGCCCTAGCATTCTACACTAGATGCTCTAGCATTCTACACTAGATGCCTAGCATTCTACACTAGATGCCTAACATTCGACACTAGATGCCCTAGCATTCTACACTAGATGCCTAGCATTCTACACTAGATGCCCTGCATTCTACACTAGATGCCCTAGCATTCTACCTAGATGCCCTAGCATTCTACACTAGATGCTCTAGAATTCTACACTAGATGCACTAGCATTCTACACTAGATGCCCTAGCATTCTACACTAGATGCCCTAGCATTCTACACTAGATGCCCTAGCAAATTTTACACTAGATGCTCTAGCATTCTACACTAGATGCTCTAGCATTCTACACTAGATGCTCTAGCATTCTACACTAGATGCCCTAGCATTCTACACTAGATGCCCTAGCATTCAACACTAGATGCTCTAGCATTCAACACTAGATGCCCTAGCGTTCAACACTAGATGCCCTAGCATTCTACACTAGATGCCCTAGCATTCTACACTAGATGCCCTAGCATTCTACACTAGATGCTCTAGCATTCTTCACTAGATGCTCTAGCATTCTTCACTAGATTCCCTAGCATTCTTCACTAGATTCCCTAGCATTCTACACTAGATGCTCTAGCATTCTACACTAGATGCCCTAGCATTCTACACTAGATGCCCTAGCATTCTACACTAGATGCCCTAGCATTCTACACTAGATGCCCTAGCATTCTACACTAGATGCCTAGCATTCTACACTAGAGCCTAGCATTCTACACTAGATGCCCTAGCATTCTACACTAGATGCCCTAGCATTCTACACTAGATGCCCTGGCATTACTACACTAGATGCCCTATCATTCTACACTAGATACTCTAGCATTCTACACTAGATGCCCTAGCATTCTACACTAGATGCCCTAGCATTCTACACTAGATGCCCTAGCATTCTACACTAGATGCCCTAGCATTCTACACTAGATGCCCTAGCATTCTACACTAGATGCCCTAGCATTCTACACTAGATGCTCTAGCATTCTACACTAGATGCTCTAGCATTCTTCACTAGATGCTCTAGCATTCTTCACTAGATGCTCTAGCATTCTTCACTAGATGCCCTAGCATTCTAAACTAGATGCCCTAGCATTCTACACTAGATGCCCTAGCATTCTACACTAGATACCCTAGCATTCTACACTAGATGCCCTAGCATTCTACACTAGATGCCCTAGCAATCTACACTAGATGCTCTAGCATTCTACACTAGATGCTCTAGCATTCTACACTAGATGCTCTAGCATTCTACACTAGATGCCCTAGCATTCTACACTAGATGCCCTAGCATTCAACACTAGATGCCCGAGCATTCTACACTAGATGCCCTAGCATTCTACCCTAGATGCGTTAGCATTCAACACTAGATGCTCTAGCATTCAACACTAGATGCCCTAGCATTCTACACTAGATGCCTAGCATTCTACACTAGATGCCCCTAGATTCTACACTAGATGCCCTAGCATTCTACACTAGATGCCCTAGCATTCTACACTAGATGCCCCTAGCATTCTCACTAGATTCCCTAGCATCTACACTAGATTCCCCTAGCATTCTACACTAGATGCCTAGCATTCTACACTAGATGCCCTAGCATTCTACACTAGACGCCCTGCATTCTACACTAGATGCCCCTATGCATTCCCCTACACTAGATGCCCTAGCATTCTACACTAGACGCCTTAGCATTCTACACTAGATGCCCTAGCATTCTACACTAGATGCCCTAGCATTCTACACTAGATGCCCTAGCATTCTACACTAGATGCCCTATCATTTACAAATAGATGCCCCTAGCATTCTACACTAGATCCTAGCATTCTACACTAGATGCCCCAGCATTCTAACACTAGATGCCCTAGCATTCTACACTAGATGCCCTAGCATTCTACACTATATGCTCTAGCATTCTACACTAGATGCCCTAGCATTCTACACTAGATGCCCTAGCATTCTACACTAGATGCTCTAGCATTCTACACTAGATGCCCTAGCATTCTACACTAGATGCCCCTAGCATTCTTCACTAGATGCCCTAGCATTCTAACTAGATGCCCTAGCATTTTTACACTAGATGCCCTTGCATTCTACACTAGATGCCTAGCATTCTACACTAGATGCCTAGCATTCTACACTAGATGCCCCTAGAATTCTACACTAGATGCCCTAGCATTCTACACTAGATGCCCTAGCATTCTACACTAGATGCCCTAGCATTCTACACTAGATGCCCTAGCATTCTACACTAGATGCCCTAGCATTCTACACTAGATGCCCTAGCATTCTACACTAGACGACCTAGCATTCTACAATAGATGCTCTAGCATTCTGCACTAGATGCTCTAGCATTGTACACTAGATGCTCTAGCATTCTACACTAGATGCCCTAGCATTCTACACTAGATGCCCT